GATAAGTGCTAATTGTTGAGAATTTAGACAGCATAGAAAGCTTGTGCAAGGAATGAGAATTTCAATACAGTTATCCTCATATATACAGTAAGTCTTCTTCCCATCAATTTTTTAAATCTCCCCTATTTATTCTCCTTCTATTACCCTATTTCCAATATTCATTCCCTGTTTTTGTGACTAAAAAAAAAAAAACAAAAAAAAACCAACAACAATATTCCTGGAAAACCTGAGCTTTTTTCTTAGTAGGGTTTCAATAGTAGGCTTGTGGACAATTCATTCTGGTTCCTGATTCAGTGATTGGCAGCACTGACTGCATGAGGGGAGTTGGAGCTTGCTGATCTCTAAAGTCCTTTCCAACTCAAGCCATTCTATGATTATACACTTTATATAAACTTACATTAACAAATTATATAAACAATAATTATAAATAGATATATTATGATGCAGAATCAGCAATATAAAGCAGCAAATTTCCAGTGAAAACTGTTGAAGTTCTGTACTTACACATACAACACTGTCCTGGTATCACCAACTTTCCCAGCATCTCCAACAGTGAGCGTATCATATCCTCTTTCCAGTTCAAACTCTTCAAAAGCAAGCTTTATGACCTGTTTCAATGAAATTTCATATATTTCAAAACATAGCACAGGTTATCTAAACTGTTCTAAACTTAAAGGAAGTAATTTGACTACCATCAGTAAATTCAGAAGCAGTCATTTCTACTGTTTTCAGTTAGTCTTATCTGATTTGACAATGACATACGAAGTAAAGAAACTTCTGTTTTTTTCCTCAAGTGGAATGTCCTTGCCATAAACTTTTAAAGTCATGAAATACTAAGGATGCTAGGACAACCTTTTTTTTTTTAAAAAAAAGAACTTTATTTAATTTTAATAGTTCAACAAGAAATACATGATTCAGTAAGTAGATGAAGTTAAAACACCTTAATATATTTTTCGTCAGGTGAATTGTATAATGACAAGGTTGTATGATCAATTCTTGAGAAGGTGAAAGAGACTGGTGAACAAAAATGCATTATCATTTTATGTATATATATATATATAAGATATTAAAACTAAATTTTGATTTCTCTGAATGTCTACTCATGAATTGCCCAGAGAATAAAAATAGAATCAGAATCGTTTGAAAAAAATATTCAGAATTCACGTAAACTATAAATTTTTAAGCCTAAACTGAAATTGATTTAATTTTTTACAAAAGAAGACTTGCATGAAATCCACTTTTTAGAGTCCAGTACTGGTGACCTGGAGTTGTAGGTTTTATATGTATGCATATTTATAGTGTACTTTTTGCAAGGTTTCCACAGAAGCCTCAATATCATTGTGCGGAGAGTCATGATGATTTTCTACAAACCTATTCAGTTTTATCTTTATACTAAATTTGGCAGAAACCTGTGGACAGACATTCACATAATTTGCACTATTATCTTGTTTTGTGGCTATCCACAAGATTTGAGTCAGATTCAAACAGTTTTGCATCAGCTGTACTATACTGATATTTCAGCAGCAGTGTTAAAAGCCAGCTGATACCCTCCATCTAGTTTATCTCTGTAATCTACGTAGCAGAAGTCACCTAGCTCTGAAAAAGGCAAGGGTCCAAGCTAAGATAGCTGTTTAGACTACCTCAATCTTAAAAAACAAACAAACAAACAAAAAAACAAAAAACAAACAAGCCAACACATCTCATTTTTCTGTGCTAGAACGGGAATAAGACTTCAATTATCAACTTCAGAAATAACTTACACTACCAGAGTAGACAAGTATTGCATTGAACTACATTGCTTTAGTTCCTAATGCAAAGAAAAACCTGTTTATAATCTTTTTATAACAAAATGATCTTAGAGAATATATTGCCTCTTTCTACAAATTCACTCTGTATTTTTCATACCTTGCTTCGTAAACTCTGTTCTTTGTATGTTCATGTTTTCAAAAGCATGCTAAAATAGATTCCAGGACAAAAAACCTTTTGTGTTTTGAAATAGAGATTGCATAGAAGTGTTTAAAAAGAAAAATGTATAATAATAAAAATTTAAAGAATATCCATGTCATTATTTTGCGAATAGAACAGAATTTTTGTTTCGTGATCAAACACAGGCTTTTTCCAAAACAAACAAACAAAAAAAAACAAAACAAAACAAAACAAGCAAACAAACAAAAAAAAAAAGCTGGTAGGCCTGCCAGATTTTGAAATAAAGTGCATTTCCCTATCTACAATATACTTTAACAGTCACAAGAATTTCAGGCAATATGCTGTAGTCTAAATCAGGAGCAGGTAATGTGTATCTTCTAATATTCCTAGATTATAATAAGTATTAACTCATTACTAAATCATGACCAATAAAGAGAAAGAAAGGCAAAGAGAAAACATAGAAGAATAAAATCCAATGTGTTTTGTTTCTTTCTTTGTTTTCCAGGCAATAAAGATAACTATGCATATAAGAGTATTTCTGTTAATGCTATTTTTACTTTAAGTAGACTTAAAGAAACTGACAAAGTATTCCACTAGAAAATATGGTAATGTAGTACTTAATTATGATCAAGTTGCCTAGACTCGAGTTCTTTTATATTGAAATTTAAAAACAAATGTGAATGTTCATCTTTAGTAATAAGGTAAGTTGCAATCAAGAAATTGGATATAAACCATAAACTAAATATATAAAGACCTGGCTAAGAGTAAAGAAAACATCACAAGAGAAGTTGCTTTATGGGAAATATATTGTTTGTAAAGACATGTTTAGGGCTATTGAAAAAAGATCTTGTTATGCAATTTTACTTTTCTGCTGTTATTCTACTCTAACACAACAGAACACCGGAAAGATTCAAGTGGTCAAAAGTTGAAATATCTGCATTAAATTCTTTTGTTCTAATCCATTAAAACCTAAATTTCAGCATATATATATATTAAGCACCTGGGCTAATGTCTCCTTCTACAGTTGGTAGAAAGAAAATGGTAACACAATACTTCATGTGACGTTTCTTAAGATAGACCAAAATTCCATTTAGAATTGTCCTTTCTATAGACTTCTATAGACTATATGGGGAGTTTGGATGACTAGGGCAGACTATCGCTTACACAGGTATATTTAAAATCCAGATAAAACTCTGAATCCTCAGAGGGATATTTCAGATTTTTCTTACATGTGGAGTGGGTTATCTTTAACAAATAATGCAAGACATTTTTATATGGGTATGAACATGAATACAGCGCAGGAAAATCTTAAAACAGTTGAATCAATATTTAAAAAAAAAAAAATAGATTTATAATAGTGGTAAAAAGCAACAGAGAAAGATCTTAAAAGGAATTAATCAATATAAACAAGAAAAATACACCAATAATATTGATAAAAATAAATATAAAATAGCATTGGTATATACTGGAAAAATAAGGCAGCTTTAAGATACCACTCCAACTTCATTGCTGTTTTCTAGTTTTTAAAAAATATATATGTATTAATCTAATCACCATTGAATATGCATACTCCGAAATGATCCAAATGAAGAAAATAATCTATTTACATTAAAAACAAAACAAAACAAAACAAAAAAAATACTTCCAAACATATTATATTTGTTTCTGGATGAACAATTATAAGTATTTCAGAAGAATTGTCTGTTTTTTTTTTTTTTTTTTCCTGAAATGTACAAGACATAATCCCCATGTAAAAAATTCTGCATGATTATTTATGATTAGATAAATAGACTGTGAAATAAATAATGTGTAAAAAAGATTAGACACCTAAGGAGGTGTCTGATAGAAGCTCTGCAAGTGAATTTCCTGTCATAATTACTTTTTCTTATAAGCATTAGTTGTCCTAAGAAATTTCAGTAAGGACATTCTTCCTAGAAGAATCAGTAGGGAACATCACAAGGTGACACTTCTAAAATGCCTAGATCTATGTGTTCTTTTCACTGCTGATAAGACATTTCATTATCTTTTAAGTACATTAGAAATTAACGTAAGCACTATAGTAAAGACAAAGTCAAAAGTGGAAGCAAAAAGTTTTATTTTAAGATGCAATCAGACAGTAGAGCTATATGTAATGTACTATTAATTATGGAGTCTTACTAAAAAAAAAAATCAATAAAAAAATGAGGCCTTCTTGATGGAGCTTCTCTTAAAGACACAAAATGAAGTGACAATTAGCTGCTCAGTAAAGCTACAGTAAAACATACGGACAAGAGAACAGAAGAGCTTTATTTTAAAGTTTTAAAATTGTAAATAGAAGTTATAAAGCTCTTCATGACTTTTACAACTTACTCCATTTTCTTGACATATTAATTCAAATATAATAGTATATAACAGATATTTTGTTTGTCCTACCCACTGCTATGTGAAATTTGAAAGTAACATGATCATGTAAATGCAATTCGTTGTTATTTCCTTTGCAGACACCCCATGTTCAAAGGATTTGGAAACAAAAGAAGTCAAAAATGGAAATATAATTATATTATTTCAAATTTCTGAATCTTCTTAAATCTTCAAGAAGAACCATATGCTTCAAACACAGTTAAACGGTTTTGAATATCTATTTTACTTTAAGAACAGCATAATACAGAAGCAATGTGAAAGGATGATACAAGCATTAAAAAATATATACCTCAATTCTGTACTCCATAAAACTTTCAAAAAATATTCTATATTTTCCTAGCCTACGCTGATCTGACATGGAGCCTTAAGAATTAGAAGTGTCTATGCCCAAAATACCATAGAAGAGGAAGACAGAGATCACTGACTAGAAATAGCAATAAAACTAGGTAGTTCTTACACACAAATTCTATCAATGATTACCTTACTAGAACTATGAAGATCTCATTTTCACCATCTAAATAACTAAATAAACTAAAAACCAAACAAACAAACCAATAAAAGAATGCCGATATCAAGTCAGTGAGACTGATAAGCAGTATATTGAGGTATAAACCTATAAATGAAGAGGAATATTTGATAGAAATATTATCACAATTCTAAGACCATGGCAACAATTAACATCAAAAAGTTAATAAATAGGAACATTTTTTTAAAATATGATGGAGTTGTTTAAACACAGCTGTAATGACATTCTCAGTACTTTTTTTTTTTTTTTTTAAAGAAAGAAAGAAAGAAATAGCATTACTCTGTTTCTTCTCAGGAGCACATGGATGCAGAACATCTTTTAGATAATGGGAATTTATTGTAAATATAGTTCACTGGAATTTCTTTTTGAAAAAAAAAAATGTAACCAGGTATCAGTTAGTTCAGTCACCAATCAAAAGAATTAAGAATTGTTGAAACATAAAACATTAAAAAAATGCTTAAACTACACCATTCCCTACAGCCACTGGGCTACTCACACAAAATATCCACTCTATTTATTGCACCATATTTCAGCAACCGAAGTAGAATCCTAACCATCAAATGCATCTGCATACAACATAGTGGTGTTTTAATTAGAACCTGATTCCAATCTCCTATAACCATTTTTGTTAGCACCATTCACTAAACAGCGTAAAACTGACACACTTGTTCCCACATTACATGTTGTCCATAGTTGTCTTTCTACTGCCTTTCCATCTCTACTACACATGTAAGAAGATAAATGCCCACAAAGGTT